GGAAGGAGAAGTCGGGGAAGAAGATGAGGGTATATTAGTAATTAAAAGTAAAAAATTTAGCATGTCATCCATTTTTGCCACGTGGATTTTCCATGTAATTTAATAAAAAAAAGGAATGAGTGTTTTAGTTAATTAACCTGTCACATCAGCTAAAATTTAACGGAAGGACTAAAAAGGGCCCGGATTTGTGAACAGTAAGAATCAAAAAGGGGATTTTTTCGGTACAGGGACCAAAAAAGGGCTTTTTCCTATAGTAGAGGGACCAAAAAGGGTATTTAACCTTTTTTTTAGTATCATTCATCCTTGTCACGGCCATTAAGCCACTTGAACATTTGTTTCCAAACTTCTTTTTATTTTTCTTGTTCTAATGATGAACATGAATTTATTCGCTTGCTTTATTCATGCTGCCCACAGCTTTGCAAACAAAGCCGCTCTAAAACACAAATGTAAGAACATGCCATGCCTCCTTGGCAGCACCAAGTCTTATGTATGCTTCCATGGTTTAAGCCAAAACTCTACGTGTCCTTATTGAAAGCAAAACAACTTGAATCAAATAATATACAAATGTTCGCAAACCCGGATCATGCAGATGTGGAGGCAGAACTATCCCCTGCCTCCCACACAGTCGGATAATATGGTTTCAAGTAGATGCCATTGATCTTGCGAGGATGCAACTCCCCATTCAAAGATTTTAACCAATAAGCACCCCTTTTAAGAACTTTATGAATTTGGAATGGTCCTTCCCAATTAGGGGACCACTTACCATATCTGGGATCCTTCTTGCCAAGCGGCAGCACAGCCTTCCAAACCAAGCTTCCTTCTGCTAAATTCTTTTGCTTGACCCTTTTGTTGTAAGCTCGTGCCACTTTAAGCTTTTGGGCCTTTATCACATCCAATGCTGTCAGCCTTGCTTCCTCAAGGTCTTCCAACTCCATGATCATGGCCTCATTGTATTCCCCAGAATTCAAGCCATTTTGAATTGCAATCCGAATTGCAATCCGCAGAGACCTTGCCGTTAATTCCATAGGCAAGACAGTATCATGACCATAAGTAAGCGAGAATGGGGTCACCTTAGTTGAACTCCGTTGTGAGGTTCTGTATGCCTAGAAAGTATTTGAAAGAAGCTCATGCCATCTCTTGGGATTATCATCAACCATTTTCTCCAGGATGTTGATGATAATCTTATTAGCTGCCTCTACTTGACCATTTGCTTGTGCATAATGCGGAGTTGAATTAAGCAAATGAAATCCCATGTCTTTTGCAAAGGCCTCTACTTGAGATCCAACAAAAGCAGTACCTTAATCAGAAGTGATAGTTTCTGAAAGACCAAACCTATGGATCAGATCCTCTTTTATGAACTTGATGACATCTCATTGCTTAACCTTCTTCATAGGCCTTGCCTCCACCCACTTAGTAAAGTAGTCTATAGCAACTATTATGAAAGAATGACCTTTAGAAGAAGGTGGATAAATTTTCCCAATCAAATCAATTGCCCAGCCACGAAAAGGCCATGGCTTGACAATAGGATGTAACTCCGAAGCTGGCGCTCGTTGCAAAGGACCATGCAGCTGACAAGCTCTGTAGCCCTTCGCATAATTGATGCAATCCTTAAGAATAGATGGCCAAAAGAAACCATGCCTTCGAATTAGCCATCTCATCTTAACCCCTGCCTGATGAGCACTGCAAATACCATTATGAACATCTGACATCACATGGCAACTTTCATCAAGATTGAGGTAGCGTAATAATAATTCATCCTGCCCCCTACGATACAGAACATCCCCGAGTAGCACATAGTTTAAAGCTTGCATCCTCATTCTCCTTGATGTTTTAGAACTGGGATTCCTCAACTGTTTTGTCATTGGATGCCTCCAATCTGTAGGTGTGACATCTAGTGAGCATGCTTCCACCGTTATTCCTCTTTGATGAATTGAAGGCAGCATATGTTTTTCAATGATGATGACTTTCTCCAAGATGCCTTCAGGCATTTTTACACCTGAAGCAATCTGCGCAAGTTCATTTGCTTCAATATTCATGTTGCGAGGAATATGCTTTAGGGAGACATCATCAAATTCCTCCAGTAGTTGGATGGCAGTGGCAAAATATGGAGACAAAACCACGCTTGTACACTTGTATTCGCCACTCAATTGCTTGAGAACTAATTGAGAATCACCCACAATTTCAACTGATGGAACCTTCAACTCTACCAACAACCCAAGGCCAATTACCAAAGCTTCATATTCTATTTGGTTATTGGTGCATTCAAAATCCAACTGAAAACACCATTAGGTTTTTATGCCATCTGGAGAAACAATAATAATTCCAGCTCCGAAGGCTTGATCAGTGCTAGACCCATCAAAAATAAGCCTCCAAGGAACCAAGTCAATCGAAAAGAGATTGATTCCCTTGTCTTCATCAGCGTTAACATCTAAACAAGGATGATCTGCTAAAAAGTCTGCTAAAACCTGTCCTTTGACGGCCTTTTGAGGCAAATATCTCAGATTAAATTCAGCAAGTGCAAGAATCCACTTACCAATGCGGCCTCTTAAGAGTGGCCACGACAGCATGTATTTTATGACATCAGTTTTTGAAACAACAAACACCTCCGAATACAATAAATAATACCTCAATTTTATTGCTGCAAAGAACAAAGCCAAACACAATTTCTCAACCGAAGAATATTTCACTTCGGTCGGATTCAAAGCTCTACTCAAATAATAAACAGCTTGTTCTTGTTTATTATTATTCTCTTGTGCCAGCAGACAGCCAATTGACTTATCTACGACGGATATATACAGCAATAAGGGTTTATTCTTAACTCGAGGAACCAACACAGGTGGCTTGGACAAGTATTCCTTGATGGCATCAAAGGCGGCTTGGTGCTGCCTCTCCCATTTAAAATCTGCATCAGGCTGCGACTTCAGAAGAGGTGAAAAGACATGAGTTTTGCCCACCAAATTAGAGATAAACCTCCTTAGGAAATTAACCTGACTAAGAAACTTTTGTAATTCCTTTTTATTTTGTGGTGGCCGTGCTTCAATTACGGCCCTTGCTTTGTTTTTGTCCACCTTTAGGCCTCATTCATGGACCAGAAAACCCAAAAAATTCCCTGCTGTAACACCAAAAGCACACTTGAGAGGATTCATCTTCAAACCATGCTGTTGCATTCTTTCAAAAGCTTTCCTCAAGTGCTCCAAATGTTCTTCATCCTCCATGGATTTAACAACAACATCATCGATATAAATATCCATGAAGCGGCCAATCATATCATGGAAAATTGCATTCATGGCCCGCTGCTATGTAGCTCTTGCATTTTTCAACCCAAACGGCATCACGACCCATTCATACGTACCTATGTTTCTAGGGCAACGAAACGTCGTTTTACTTATGTCTTCCTCTGCAATAAAGACCTGATTATAGCCACTATGCCCATCCATAAAAGATAAAATGCGATGGCGTGCAACCCCATCAACAAGTAAATCTGCTACTGGCATGGGGTATTCATCCTTTGGTGTGGCTAGATTTAAGTTCCAAAAATCAATGCAAACTCTGAGCTTTCCATTCTTCTTCACTACTGGAACAATATTAGACAACCATTCTGAGTACCTGGTTGTCCTTATAAAACCAACTTTATGCAGCCGCTCCACTTCTTCCTTCACCTTCAAAATCACTTCTGGAGACATACGACGTGGCGGCTGTTTGTACGGCTTATATCCTTTGTTGATTGGTAGTCTATGCTTTACCAACTCTCGATTTAAACCTGGCATCTCAGAATAATCCCAAGCAAAGTAGTCTTTGAATTCATGTAGTAAACATATTATTTTATCTCGCATCTCTGGCGGTAGCAAGACACTGACAAAAGTAATATGTGGCTCTGCCTCCGTTCCTAGATTGACTTCCTTCAATGGATCTTGTACATCGGCCCTGAGGTCATCCAGCTTCGCAAGGGCTAGATCTAGCTCTTCCATTGTGACTCTGTCAGTATGGGTGTCCTCCTCACCTTCATGTACCACCTCTGACAGATTTGCTTCTGTATTTCTTTCAACAAAATAGGCCGCTAATTTCTTTAGAATTTCAGATACGGCCTCCCTTCTTTCTTTGTTTATCCTGGATTTCTTCATAATAACTCCTCAATTTTGGGCTCCTCTTGCGGCCTATATGGAATAATGGCAGTAGGCCGCAACAATTCATTGCATACCTCGTCAACCATATACTTAGCCGAAGTAGGCTTGTTGCAAACAGTGATTCCACGAGGTCTTCCTTGTCTATCCATGCTGAAGAAACGGATGGTTCCTATGTCTTCATCATAGTATCGTGCTTCCACCATATTGGAATTGGCTAAGAATGGTCTGTTGTTAGCATAAACCACCTCAGTTTTGCCTCCATTCCAAAAAATGAGTCTTTGATGGAGAGTAGATGGAACACACCAATTCGAATGGATCCAATCACGTCCCAGTAATGCATTATAAGTTGCAGAAGAGTCTACAACAAAGAAATCACTCATTGACGTCTTGCTGCCAACAGTAAGTGCAACTGGCAGCACTCCTTTTGATTTGCAAACACCACCTGTGAAATCACTGATGGTTATGTCAGTATAAACCAAGTCCTCGGAATTTTTACCCAAATTCCTCAGCATAAAAGAAGATATGACATTGACTGTTGCTCCATTGTCAACAAGGACTCGATTCACTGGAACTCCATCCAAGTGAGCTGAAATGTAGAGTGGCTTTATATGACGAGCCACACTTTCATCTGGTTTGTTAAAGATAATTTGTTCTGAAAGTATATCATGCTCCTCTTCCTCTTTTTGGGCTGGAACCTCTATCACTTCTTCTTCAACAAACATGCTGTCCTTGGAAACATGGGTAGTCTCGCTGCCCTTGGCTTGAAAAACCAAAGGAAGTGTGAGAACCAAACAAGAGAGATTAATAAAGATGTCGCTGATCTGCAAAACATCCATGTCCTGAAGAAGATTATCATCGCTAGTCAACTTTGCTTGCTGATCTGCTTCAAAAGTTGCCTTCAACTCATTTTCATTGGCGATCAGTGAGGTAAGCTTAGGAAGTGGCACTTTCGGCTGAGATTCATTCTAGACAGCAACCTCTTGACTCTCTTTTCTCTTCCACACCATATTTCCCTTTGCAGGAGAACGTTGTGGAACCTTAACTTCCTCAGTAGCTAATTGTTGACGACGACGTGCCTCTGCTCGCTTTCGCTGCAACCTTCTTCTCAAAGTTCTAGGATTTCTCACAGGTCCTTTTGGAAACTTGGGATGCACAACCTTCTCCCACCTTTTACTTGGAGGTCACTGTGGAGGCTTAACCATACGAGAGCGATCTGTATGTCGAGCCTCCTTCATGCTGGATCTGGATGCATAGATTCTGGCAGCATGGTGTTGCCCCCCGAGCCTTTGATTCTGTTGGGCACGACGTTCCCTTTCCTTCTTAATCACCCAACGAAGGTCATCTGCAGCCAAAGTTCGCCCTTTATACGTCCTTCGAGAGATGCTCCTTATGTCAGCAACATTAACTCCAACATCAACGTTCGGAAAAAGATTGTCATCAACCCCTATGGCTTCCTTGTGTTTTTCAAGGAAACGAAGCAGCCCTTTGTCAATCTTGTCCTGCAACACATTTCGAAAAATAACACAGTCATTAGTAGAGTGTTTCCAGGAGTTATGAAACTTACAGAAATCTTTGGATGCAATTTCAGCAACCGTCGGGAGCTTATGCCCTTGTGGCAGCTTAATATGTCCTGGCTTTTTCAGATAATCAAAGATTTCATTTGCTTTAGTTACATCAAATGTGTATTGTCTCCCAGATTCATACGAGAGACGCTTTGCAGCCGCTTCAACCTATTGAGTGACTTTCACTAGATTAGGACAAGTTACTGGCTTGTCTGCAAAGACCTTGGCAACATCAAGGTCAAAAGCATCCTGATAATAAGTTCCTTGCGATGCTGCCTTTCTTTGGGATTCCTCTCTTAAAAGGTTCTCATAATGTGCCACCTTATAAGAGAGCTCAAAGAAGTCTCTGAATTCCATCCCCTCAAACTTCTTTCGAAGTTCAATGTCTAAACCATTCTGAGCAAACTTCACGAACTCTGGCTCTGGTAAGGCAACATGACACTTCATCCAGGCTTTTCTAAACCGCATAAGATAATTTTCAAAAGATTCCCCTGGTCGTTGAGTTAATCTAGAAAGATCAGCCATGGATATCTTAGGCTCTGAGCGGTAGAATTGAATATGAAACAAATCTTCCATTTGTCTTTAGGTAAATACAGAATTTTGCGGCAGACTTAGGTACCATGTCAGTGCAGTACCCGTTAAAGAACTTGGGAAGAGTCTCAACTTCAAAAAATCATCACCTAATGCCTCCCCACATTGAATAGTGAACCTACCAATGTGTTCAATGGTTGACTGACTCATGTCCCCAGAAAACAAAGTAAATTCAGGCACTTTGAATCCACGAGGAAATGGATTATCCCGATCTATGTAATCTGGATACGACTTGTGGTAGAAAGGACGAACCAATGGTCTTAAAGCTGGACCATATGTCTCGTGGACTAGATTAATCAGTTGATTTCTATCCAAGGGAGGGGGTGCTGCTTGCAGCCCTAATGGTTGAAAAGCATTATTCTGAAAGTTAGGTTGTGGGGCTGCATTTGGACGACGTGCATAAGGTACATATCTTTGTTGATTAGTGTTGAGTTGCTCAGCTACATGGAATGCTGCTTCCATAGGATCTTGTGGTCCAAGGATACCACCAGCAGGATTGTTTTGCTGCTGCCTATTGAACTGCACTTGGATTGCACCAAGAGCATTATTTTGAGCATTGGGCATCTGTTGCACCACCTGTGGCTGATTAATATGCCCTCCATGCCCCCCAAGCAAAGGATCTAGAAGATTTTGCTGTGGTAATTCCATTGCTGGAGGTACGGGTTGCCTTGGAACATTTTGTTGCTGTCGAACATGTTCTATGGTTCTCTCAGAAACTGCAGTGAAGGTTCTACGACTTTCTGCTATTTCTTCTCGAATAGCTCGAGAATTGTCATTAATGGCTGTCATAACCCGATTTTTCATTCAACTTATTAAAATTTTTCATATAAAAAAAAACAAAAAAAATATTAATTAATCACAAAAATTAATTAAAAAAATCAAAAAATCAAAAATATATGAAAATATGACAATCTCTCTTTTCTTTAACTAATACATCTTAATTTTTCTTTCAGGTGCAAAAAGGGGAAATTCAAGAAGGAAATGGGAAAGGAAACTCGAGAAAGGACTCAATTGAAGGAATCAAAAGTTTAAAGGTGAAATTCATCAAATTTACAAACCCAACACTAACCCATTTCAATTGAGCCCATTATCCAAACCCAATTACCCAAAACCCAAAACCTACCAACTACCCAAGCCCAAAATCCCAAAACCAAAAATTACTCAAAAATCCAAAACCAACAATTACCCAAACCCAAGCCCAAATACCAAACCCATTTAATAAAAAAAAAAAAAAAGAAAAGAAAAGAAAAGAAAAAAGATTAAATCTTTTTTTTTTTCTCTCCAGAACCTTCTTCTTCCATTTTTCTTTTACTTTTCTCTCTCCCGAGTCAGCCTCCACCCTCCTCTGCACCGCACCCAGCCCCTCTGCACGAACCAGCGCCCCTAGCTCCTGCACCCCTAGCTCCTGTGCCCAGCCTTGTTTCCCGAACCAAAGCCCCTAGCCCCTGCGCCCGGCCTTGCTTCCTACACCAGCCTTGCTCTGCATCAGCTCCCTTTCTCTGCACCAGATCTCCTTGCTCTGCACCAGATCGCCTGCACTCTGCACCAGCCATCATCGGCAATCATGCCCCTGCTGCTGCACGCCTACACCCCCCTGCTGCTGCACGCCTGCGCCCCTGCACGCCCGTGCCTTGCACTCTGCTACGCCTGCACTTGATCCTGCACTCCTGCTTCTGCCAAAAAGCCGGATCCTTTGCTTGCTGCGCGCCCCCCGCCTTTTGCAGCCCCCTGCATGTTGCTGCCAATCCTGCGCGCCTACATACCTGCTCTGTCACTCCAGAAGCCCTGAACAAAAAGACAAAAAAAAAAAAAAAAAAGGAGGATCTCTGCCCGGGTACAAATAGAGAATTTTAGGTTAGGAAAGGGGGCTCTCTTGGTTGTTCTTTTTGGTCTGAGTTTGGGATCGCCGGAGGTAATAGCAAAAGAAAGGAGATCACCGGAGGAGATTGTGCATTTCCTTGGTTTTTGTTGTCTTAGGTAAACTTTCTGATCAGAGGAAGTTTTGGGGAGGGTGGTGAAGGAAAGGTTGGAGCTTGATCCCGTGGGTGGGATCCCTCCCTCCGATCCTGATCTGTTTTCTCCCAAGACTTTCGCCATGGTTGTTTTAATTTCTTTGTGTTGATGTACTGCATTTGTATTTGAGGTTGATATCGCGAATGAAATCAAGCATGCTCTGTTGAGTTTCATGGATCTATATATTTGTTTTCTTTTGTTTGTTTAGTTGAATGGCTGAATAGGAACTTTAAATTCCATTTTGTTTTTTCTGTCCAGGTTTCATTTCTGTCTAGATTTTAATCTGTTTTTCCTTATTTTTGGTTGATAGTTCGTGTTTTGGGGCAAGTATATGTATATATATATATATATATACATAAACACTAAAAAAAAAACTAACTAAAAACTAAAAAAA